AAGAAAGAAAGAAAGAAAGAAAGAAAGAAAGAAAGAAAGAAAGAAAGAAAGAAAGAAAGAAAGAAAGAAAGTTTAGAAATATATGAATCACTTCTGACCATCTTTCAACAGATAATTGCAATCTTACCCCCCCCCAGATGCTACACAAATCCCTTCAACCCCTCATTTAACCCACATCTTTCTTCATCTTCAGATCCACGAATCACCATTTCATTTCTTTCTTCTTCCGGCCAGCTTTCCAGGCACAAATCACTTTGATTTCGAGGACCCCCGAGAGGGTCTTGGGGGACCCCCAGGCGCCTCGGACCACCCTTGAAGAAACCCAGACGTCAGAGGTCTGACCCCCTGCCCCAACCCATCCTGGTTGCATCCTGGTTTAAAAAGGCAAGGGAGGACTCCGTTTCCTCTCTGAACCCAACCATGTTTGAGCTTAGTTTGCTGGTTGCTTCAGGGCTAAAAGTGGACGTGAGTCAGTCCGAACAAGGGATCGGCCCTGCGCGCCCCCCGCCCTCCCGGCTTCCTCTTCTCGCATGAACAAATCCCAGCATTGTTTCCACTTCCTTCCCCCCCCAAAAAAGACCCATTGCTTTTTTGACCAAGGTCGTGGCGCCGATCACGCGCCCCGATGGCTTTCGTGAGTTAGGGTTCTTCTGTTTCTCGGGGGCAGACTCTGAGTCACGGCTTGCTTGCGGCAACGGCTTCCCAGAATGCCTCTGGTGGACGCCTGGGGCATTGTGGGAAAGCACCTGAGCACTCACACATCCTGCGCCCCCCGCTGTGGCTCAGTTCTGCAACTTTCTCCTCGCTGTTCTCCTAGATTTCCGAAGTCGGAGGACACCCAAAATTGGCGTGTGCCGAATTCAGAGTTTGTCATAAAAGGGATAAAGGTGATTTTGAAAGAGTGTGGAATTTGGGGCACTTATTATGTGCAGAAATCAATCAATCAATCAATCAATCAATCTATCTATCTATCTATCTATCTATCTTCTATCTATCATCTATCTATCTATCTTCTATCTTCTATCTATCATCTATCTATCTTCTATCTATCATCTATCTATCTTCTATCTATCATCTATCTATCTATCTTCTATCTATCTATCTATCTATCTATCTATCTATCTATCTATCTATCTATCTATCTATCTATCTATCTACCTATCTTCTGTCTGTCTATCTATCTATATCTATCTATCTATCTATCTATCTATCTATCTATCTATCTATCTTCTATCTATCTATCTATCTATCTATCTATCTATCTATCTATCTATCTATCTATCTATCTATCTTCAGGTAGAAAGCAAAACTATTCCATACAACAGAATTATTAACAGTTTCGATATTTGATTTAATAGCCCCCCAAAAAGGTGAAAAATCCTATCAATCATTTGGAGACTACATTTCTAAATCTCCAAAGCTGGGATCCTTATTCTAACCTAGAAAAGCGAAACTTTTGCAAAACAAGTTTTCAGCCCAAAACAGGAATCGAAAAACATCTTCGTAAATTGGACACTATAAAAATGGGACATTTTGCCTTTAAAATACACGGAACAAGAGGTATGTCTCGTTGGCCCTGATGGTTAAAGTTGAGGGTGAGGTGTGGAGCTTCTGGATCCAGGAGTAGTCTCTCTGAATCCCAGTCACTAGTTTGGTCACAGGGTGTAGCTTGGTTGAGCTTTAAAAGCTCTCCTGCCTGCACGGCTTCCCAGCAGCACCAGAATAGAGGAGAAGCGGTCACAATTAGTTGTGATGGGAGTGGAGCCTCCACGTTCAGCAGCAGGCTATCAGTTCCTCTTCTTTTCAAAGGCCAGAATTGAGCAAAAAGGGGGGAAAGCCTTACAAATAGAGCAACGCCGCCCCCGTGTGGCCAAACTGTAGAATGCAAACATGAATGAAAAACGAGGTAGTCTTAATAGGGCATACGGACAATGCCTAGCTGAGAAATCAAAAAGCAAAAATTGCTGAATCCAGAAGCCCCCTTGGGTGCCCCAAAATCATTTTAGATCTTTAAAGGTGTGGCGTAAATGTTGCTCTGTGATTAAGACAAAAGTCTGAGATTTTCTTCCCCCCTAAGCATTTGCATTTTACATCCCCTGCCCTGATCATTTGCAAAGTTGAGTGGCTCTATAAAATAAATTGTTTTTTTTTAATTCAGTGAAGTGTGGGGATTTGTAAGAGATTCCTTGCTTGTATTTTTTTTTAAACCCAATTCAAGCTTCATCAGTATTTGTCAAAAGAGATACCTGATCATCAACAGAAGGCTGCCAGAGAAACAGCGTCGGTCATTTCCCCATAAAATAATTTAAAAATTCAGGCCTCAGACAGGAAATAGCAATATGAAGCAGGAGCGGAAATCATTTTAAAATCTGAATTGAAGCCCTGGGGTCATGTTTTTCAACTTCCAGGGGTGGGCCCTGCAACTCCCAGAATTCCCTGCCAGCACTGCAGAGAATTCTGGGAGTGGAAGAGCCCTGAGGTGTGGAACTCCCAGAATTCCCTAGCCAGCTTGGCCATTGTTGAGAATTCTGCGAGTGTGAAGTCCACACCTCTGGAAATTGCCCGGTTAGAAAATGCTGACTTAGATCCGAACCCAGCCTATGCTGGTCTGTTCGACAAACTATGGCTTAGCATTATGCATGCACCCAACCCATTTATTGGATTTTTGACTCTGGACAGGCCTTGTCTTCCCTCTCCCATCAGAGAAGAACAAGAGAAGCGATTGGCTTTTGCAAACAAACAGGAAGTTTCGATGCAAACATTTTGCCTTTCATTTGTTGCATTTAAATTTCTGCAGAAACAATATATTTGGAAAGGGACGTGTGGCCCTTCAGTGCCAGGGGAATTAGGGCCTTAACCCGCACGTTAGAAACCTCACAAAAGTAAAATAAAAACAATTAAGTTGCGCAACCGCTTTCCCGCGTCCCTCCCCAAGATCTCCCAAATGTGCAAACATTTCTTCTTTTCTCTTTCATTTACTTCCTTTCTTCCTTTTTTTGCACTGCATGGCGTCACCCGCGGTCCGGCTCGGCCGTGGTGTGCCTCTTCAGAAATGTCACAAACGAGAATCGAGCTTTTGGGGGGGAAGTTGCGAATTGCGACACAGCACCGTGTCAGGGGAAGTTGACAAGCGTCTGGGTTCAGAGAGGAAGGGATGAGTGGACGAACTCCGAAACCCGGTTTAGGGAGGAAACCAGCATCAAAACAACTGACGTGGGGACGCGTTGGCAAGGAAGAAGCCCTAAAACAGTAAAATCCTGGATGGTTGAGCGTTCGGGGACCTTTGAGGGCATCAAGACGTAACCAGGCCACCGCTTCTCTCGCTCAAACACGGTTTCGCGCGGCGTTCAGCTGCCACGCAATTCAACACTGTGATTCTTGATTTCGATTCCTCTCTGCAATTTTGCCCCCTGGATAATAGAAGGGTCTCCCTCCTTTCTCTCTTGGAAAGGCAGATTTTCTGCTTTAATGGCGGGGAGGCGACTGGAAAAGCCTTGCCGGTCGGAGTCCAAAATCTGACACCATCTTTTGGTGGTTTTCCGGTTGGCGAGAAAAATCTCAGAGCGGGCTCGAAGTCCTCCTCTGCAAACCCAGAGACTTGATTGAGTGCTGAGGGGTGGTTTTTTTTCCCCCCCGGGACCTTTAACCAGGCAGTTTTAACCCCGGGGGAGCATTTGTCTGCCGCCAGATGCCGGCCGCAAGACAGATGGATCAAGATTAGCCTGGGAACCGAAAAGCAAGAACGCGATTCAACCGTGTTGCTGCCCCGGAGATGAATCAGACGAAGTCTGGGGGCCATCAAGGTTTCCTGTGGAATCAAGAGTGGCTTGCTGACGTGAAACGGATCGGGAACCTGATGAATTTGGAGGGGGTTTCACCACCACAAAGTCCTTGTGGGAAGAGTGGGTGGCAGGGGGGGAGAGGTCCAAAGGCAAAAATATCTAGAAATATGATTTCAAGTGATTTGACTGCCTTGTACAAAAAGGATCTCTTTCTCTAGCCCAGTGTTTCTCAACCTTGGCAACTTTAAGATGGGTGGACTTCAACT